GTGTAGAAGCTTCTAAATGAAACCCTATTCTAATGTTTGCCAGAGACTACTAAATACATTCAAGTAGTTCATGATGTATATATAAATCTTCTCACATCCCACATACTCGCAGGTTCATCCACAAAGCTGAGGATATGATTTTAGCAGTTTGTTAACATATTGTGATTTTGTTTAGAACTTATTCTACCCCCCTAGTTAGGAGATTTTTACTCTTGTTGCTTATCTTCTTCCCTGTAAAATATAAACAGAACATACACTTTTACTATTTTACTATTTTATATTTTTCTTAAAGAGATAACATCATGCTTGCCTTTCTTAATATAGTTATAAACAACACCAACTGATTCTAACATTATGGTAAATAACTGTTTGAGATATTCTGGAAGGACTTGGAAATCTTTCATTCTTGAAGGTATTGAAGAGCCTTGATACCTGGCTCTAGGTCAGCCTGCTTGAGCAGCAGTGATGGACCAGATGCCTTCTAGAGGTCCTTGCCAACCTTATTCAGAATTCAGTGAATTCAGAATGACAGAATTCTGTGATTCCATGATTTACTATGAATTTCTAGCAGTATCTCCTACTAGATGGAAAACCATGGTTTTCTCATTTACTGATTGTTTACTGATTATTCCCCTTCAAAATTAAGAAACAAAAGAGGATTTTCCCCCTTTGGGTTATACATAGATACCATCATTTCTGGGATTCCCTAAAACTGACTTGGATTCATTATTAAATAATTTTGGTTAATGTTAACTTATTAGCATTTTTTGACCTTACAATGTTAACTGAATCCAAAGCATGATAAATTTGCTTCTTCCCCTCTGATCTGAAGTGTACACCTGGACTAAACAAGGATTCAAACACTACTAACAAAATGTCAGTTACCTTCACTAAAAGGCTACTTGTGATTATGAAAGAGTGCCTATCTCATAGCAGAATATATTTTTTCATCAAATGCAGTTACCTTCAATATGCACATACGCACGTATTTTCAATATGCACCTTCATCCTTAACTGTTCATGTAAAAGATGCAAAGTTGTTCATCAGGTATGCAGACTTCTAACTAATCGCAGCATGATCTCACTGATTTAGTCCTCAATTTTCCTTTACTCAAAACTTTCATAATTCACTGTTTTCCATACCTTGTTATCTATTTTTCCATCCTCAGAAAATGAGGGAATGACAAAGGCATATTCATTAGCAAGATCCTTAGCTATATAGAGTTAATTCTGTTTAAAGGCAAACAGGCCAGAAAGTGAAATACAAGAGCATACATCTGAAACAGGATGGAGCTCTTCTTCCTTAATATCAGCTCAGGAAGAAGGGTGACAGCAATAAAGGTAGGACCTCTTGCAATAACAGAAAACTAAATATGCACAAGGGAAATGCAGTATATTCCTGTAAATTGCTTTATAATTCAAAATCTTCCCTAAATAGATGACTTGATAGTTACAAATCCAGTTCAGTGACATACAGCTGATTGAAGAAGCAAACATAATCCAGCTCTCCCATGTGGGTAAGCCTCTGAAAAATGGTATACTTAAATCAGCAAGCTCCACCCCACTTGGACCATAATTACACTAATAATCTTCTCCAGACTCTCAAAACTCCTCAGATACTTTTACCTCTGAGTGTGAAGTCGCTTGTTGGTTTCTCAGACCTACTAAAACACAGAATTACTCACTCTTGATAGTGGTTGGGAGAAGGGGTCCAAATAAAAGCAAGTTCAGTTTTAATCACTAAAACTGAATATAGAAGAGACCAGACCAAATATCCAAGTCTCACCTTCCAAATCTTACAGGCAGGTCTAATTTTGCATGAAGTATACAAGTGTGTCTCAAAGCAGGTATCTAGACAGTATAGTAAATGAAGCATTAGAAATCAGAATTTAATTCACAGGCTATGTCCACTGCCTAACAGGCATCAAAGTTACAGAAACTCACTAAAAGAAACTTATCTTTAAAATGTAAACAAATTCCAGGACTTGATGGAAAAGTAATTTAACTTCAAACATTTCACTTCATGCGTCACTCTTTTTTTTGATTTGACAAGAATCAGGAGAGGTAGATGTGGGATGTTGTGATGGCGTTTTTAAAATTCACCACATGGGATGTTTGTTTGGGTACAGCAGAGAACAAATTTCATGCACCTCATACTTTTAAAGTCCTAGACCTTCTATTCATTCAAGGCCCCTAAGATATTTCCTATGTGCAATCTACATTCTATCTCTGCAAGAACAATAAAATTAATTTATTTTCAAAATTCTACCTTTTCTTTTCTTAAACAATTTTCATATTTTCCATTTTGGTTTCTCAATATCATGCTGAAATGTAAGAAATAACAGTAATATTTTTTTTTATTTCTTGAAGTGAAAATCAGAAGTACAAAACCTGGAAACAAGGACATACAGCTTAGAATTAATCTGATGCAAGTGTTTAAGTGATACCAACAAGAAAAAAAGGTTAAAGTGCAGAGTAACTAAAAAAGAACATAAAAAGCCGTAAGAAAAGATATTATAAATACACTAGAAAATGAGAACAAATTAAAATACAGAACTATTACATCAAAGAGAAGGAAAGCAAGTAAGAGATGATATAAAGAATTCCCAGTGTTCTATACTTTCCCTGCTTCATTCTTTACAAAAAAAAAAAAAAAAAAAAAGTCAACTGCAGCCAGATGCTTAACAGTAGTGGTTTTAAGAGGAAAAACTGCAAGCCAGACAAGGGAAGCTGAAAGATGTGCTTGTGATTTAGAGACATTCCAGTTCAGACTCTTGTGAAATTCACTCTAGAGCATTTAACTAACTGATGAAATCTCTAATCCTTTAGCAACTGTCTTTCAGGAACAAAGAGGACAGAAAAGGGCAAATACATATCTTTGAATAAGAAAATGGGAAGATGTGGGGAACTACAAACCACCAAGCCTAAATCAGACAACAGCAAGAATCATAGACAAAACTGTTAAATAAATAATGTATCAACAGCTAATGGAATAGAAAGGCGATAAGAAAGAGCTGACATGAATTTATCAAGACTGAATCGCATCAAATTAGTCTAATTGCATTCTCAACTGGGAAACTTGCCTAGTGGGTAAGAGGAAGAAGCAGATGCAAAATACAAGACTATTTACTATCCTAGATGGTACTTCAGTGAAAAAAAATTCGAGAATTACAATCTACGTGAAAACACTGCAAGGTAGAAAAACATCTGGTGGCAAGAAAAACACTTACTGAGTAGCTTTCAAGGGCTGGTTGTCAGATCTGAAATGGGATCATGAAGAGGTCTGACAATATTTCCATTAATGATCTGGATGAAGAAATAGAGAGCACATTCATGAAAGTGAACTCATTATCCGACTGAGAGTGATTTAAAGCACTCTAGTGGATGGGATTCAAATTCTGTATTATCTTGACAAAACACAAGAAAGCATCAAGTTCTAGCAAGAAACGGTGAAGAATGTTTAATTTGTGAAATAACTATGAAAAACAGGCTCCAACAATGGTGACCAGGTACATTCACCCAGTCTAAGTGTAGGACTCAGAAGAGCTGCAGTTTAACGCCCCAGTTAGAAAACTGTGGGGCAAGGAGATGTACAGAATGCTGCAAAATCTATTTTAGGTATAAGGAAGTAGAGGTATAGTTTTATGTAAAAGTGGAAACTTCACAATATTCTGAAGGAAAGACAGATGTAGGATTGAAGAGTGGATTTAACCATTAATTATTGAACTCTCACATATGATTGGTTTGTATCTCAAGAGAGTGAATAAATATTCCATTCTGAAATTTAAAATATTGTTTCTGTATCTTTGTGGCTGCAAGTCTCTGAAGAAGAAAACCTTGAAAACGGCACTCAGATTCATCACAAGCAATAGAGAGGCTGCAAATCAGACACTGACCAGAGCTAGTTTAGCTCCTTACAGGCAGAAATTTTTATTTTTAATTTACTAGAAAAGTATTTCAAAAAAGCTCCGTAACTATACTACTATAATACAAGTTTGAAAATTGCTCAGAATATAATTTTAGTGATCAACCTAAAACATTTTGCGAGAGTGGGACTTGGGAAAACTAGTTTTGGGTATTTGGCACAATTTGGAAAAATGCTGAATCTCAAAATTCCTTGCTAAACAAATCTTCCTTTCCTCATTCAGCTCTGTCTCTGGCCTTTCCATCTGTAAATTCTCCAGTGAATCAAGAACTGCCAGGGATAAAATGTAATGAGAGAAGAAATAAATGTTTCTCACAAAAATATCTCCCAGATCATGCCACACCTAGTTTTCATGTAGCATAGTGAAGGAGTACTTGTCACCATTTCATACTTTAAAAATTGTTAGCAGTATTTGCTCCCACAAGTGTATTTCAGAATTCTCTTCTACAAGAAAGCAAGCAAAAGGGAAAAAAAAAAAAGAGTAGCTATTCCTGATTATATCCAGTAAGCCTCAGAGCTGTCCATTACATGAGTGTTTAAAGGGTAATACATGGGGTTTATTACAAAATAACTGTATTTCATGTTTCTGAGCATTTATGTGAGATCCTTTAAAATATTTTGTTTTGAAAACTAGAAAGTCAAAGAAATCAAGGATATAAAATAGCCAAATGTTTTTCAGTAACAGGTCTGAACTCCATCAATAAGGTTGAGGTTTTACAAAGGTTAATCCCATTTAACTACCACACAAAGGAGCAATCTCCCTGCTGTATGTTCCCACCATTTTTAGTAAATCAGCTCCTTGTGTTGATCTCTTTATGAGTTAATTCAGCTCACTAAACTGGTAGAAAACTAATGTTAAAAAAAAATAAAAAATGGCGCAAGGGTAGTAGTTTCAGTTTCCAGGAAAGCTCCTGAACTATCTCAGACAATCTGTAAACCTTATCAACAGGAATGTAACTGCTGATGTCAATGACCTTGGTCTTCATTTAAATGAAGACCACCTTCCTGATATATACTTCCAAATTACAATTCAGGCCGCATGGTTACATTAAAAAACTAAAATCAATCAACTTACTGCGAGACAGATTCTCAAGGGCTTTTCCAAGCTTTTTGCTCTCTTGAAGAATATGATTTAGTTCATCAAAATCATGGTTCTCCGGTTTTGTCTTCCAATCCCATTTAGGATGCTCTATTGACCTTGGCACTAAATATACACAGATATATAGATGAAGTTTAGATTTGGTAGTTCAGATTCCTACAGTAGAAAAAAATCTGCACAGTGAGATTACAAGCTCAAGTATCTTGGGTGGAAATTACTTAACTGTCCTTTTATTTTAACTGCTGGAAATATTTTCTTTGGTCAATGCAAAGTAAAAACATCTAAGAACAAATGCATACCTGAATTATTCTTGCAACTGAATTAATGTTAAACAGGATAATTAACATTAGTAATTGAAAATATTAAAACTAATGCAATAAAAAATCTATTTAAACTATTGCACATGATGGTATATCATTTAAAACAAAACAGAATTGTGTAGCCTAGGGGTCAATAAGAAAAAAATTCAAAACAAAAATAAGCGACTGGTACTTTTGGCTTTGCTAGTTATTTTATCATGAAGAAAAAAATTATTTTAGATACAGCTTTTAAAATGATCTTTTTCTTTTCCAAAAATTATAAAATGTAGATAACACAGCTCATAAAAACAGTAAAGCAAAGTAAGTCCTTATCATTCCTGTTACAGCCTCCAATCTTCATTTCACTACTTAAACAAACTCAGCAGCCTTTGGGAAGCACAGACCTGAGCTTACAGTCTGCTGCTCATTATCTATTACCAAGGCCTTTAATTTTAACAGTTTCTCAACTGCTGAGCTAAGTTTACATATAATGAAGAGGAGTGTCTTGAGATACATAGGACACATAACGAACAGAGCTTCTTTGAACAACATAAACGTTTCGAGCAATTTGTAGAAATGAAAACAAATACAATGCTGTTTCTAGAAGTTCAGTGTTCAGAAGTAAGTGAGCTGCTGCTTTTGCCCCAAAATGCCACTGTTGGGTTGTCTCCATTGGGCACAGCATTAGCATGCTAGTGTGAAGATGATGATGTCCAGTCCACCTTTTCACCAAAAGGACTTAGTTGCATTTTTACCAACCATGATTTACCACTTGCTGATCACTCAAAAGTAAATTCAAAGAAAAGCTTAAAATATCCAATATATCCCAGCCTGCTTCAAAATTTTTGTTTACTATTTTGACAGCTGTCAACTAATCTATGCTCATAAACATCATTTTCACTACATGCTAAGAAGGTAACTTACAGACTCCTACGATTGTGCTAAAAAGGTAGTTTTGTGATAATTTGGAACTTCAGAGTGCTTTTATGATGGTATGGGAAAATCAGGCTCAGACATCAAGTCTGGCGGCTATTACAAAATGTATTCAATAACTTGGTATTGAAATTTGCCTTAATGCTGACTTCCCTCTGTGTGATTACAGAATCTGCTCCACTTTGCATCAACTTCAACTTTCCCTCTGTGGAGGTAAATCAATAGTCACCTTTTCCAAATAAAGAAATGGGACAAAGTTATGTTGAAGTCCTTCTTTCACAAATATCACGATTGTACCTCCTGTAGACATAAACCAACTCATCTTCAAAACAGATATCTATAGAGAGTCTGACAACCCAGAGTATATCCTGATCTGTAACACCCACTCAGGAACCTGGCTATTAGGGAAGTTAATATATTAGACTGCAATTACAGACATTCTCAAAGACAGAAGACAAAAGAGACATCAAGAAAGACCTATAGAGGTAAGAATAGAAGGAAAGGGACACAAGAACTCTCAATAAGGAGAGAGGGGAAGAGAGAAGCAAGTTGGAGTGTCAGTCTTGTTCTGCTTTGTGTTCAAAAAAGACAAGTAATGTATTTCCTTCTCTGGACAATGGAAATAATGAGTAATATATGGAAATAACGGTAATATAAATTTTAAAAATAAAAATAATTTTTTATAAAATGAATTTTTAATAAAAATTAAAAATATAATTTTTAATAAACTAGTAAAGAAATTCTATGAAGAGTTCTCTCTATTTTCACCCACCTTTGTTTTACATTGAGATCACAGGCTCCTTTTGAGGCCTTTTGCAGTCATCTTACCATCACCCTTCTGTGTGCCAACACTATATTCTACAGCATCACTCAGTAGCAGTATTACAGACTTTTCTATGTTTATGCTGAACTTACCACAAAAAAAAAAAAAAGAAAACAAAAAACAAAAAACTCACAGTAGCACCAGAATACAAACAGGCAGCAATTTAATATAGTAAAACCATATAAAAGGATGACCAAACCTCGGAGCCTTCAGGTTGCAGAAAATTTCCACAACCTAGAATTTGATACCATGTCGGTTTGAAACAAAACACATTTTTCAAAACAAAAAAGGAATTTTGAGAAACCATACACTTTTGAAGGAAAATTTGTGATGGAACAGAAGCTGAATGAAACAAATATAAGTTCCACTTGACAGCTGTGGAGCTTCCAGGATCAACAACTGCCAAGTATATGGACCAACTTATATCAGGAAAGAGAAAGTCTCAAGACTCTTGTTCTTGAAAATTAAGGACATTTGCTCAAGACAGTGACCTGGTTGCTAATTTCAGAGAAATGTCTCACAAACACAGGAAGCTTGGACTGCAGCTCACTAGATGGATAATGGTGGAAATCTGCTTTGCATGCTGGTGTACACTGAGCTGTTTTACTGAACCATTTTGTACTTCAGTGAAAAGATACTAAAATAGATATACTGTCATGAATTATTTCTATGTTTCAATACAATTTGTTTCAATGCCATGATTTTGATTCTGAGGAATCAAAACAGAGGGAGAAGTTAAACAGAATTAGAACTGACTGGAATTTTTGTAACTTCTAGAGAAGACATAGTTCTTCCTACTTACCTAGTCTTTCAAATAATGAATGGATACTAAAACAGTATCTATTTATTAGCATCATGTGGACCATGTTTGTTCTTTCAAGTTCATTTTCTTCCTGCTTACAGATTTTTTCAAAATATAAACTTTGATCTTCTCAGCTGTAGGATCAACAAGCACTGGTAATTTTCAAATGAATGGCTTTATTGGAAGTATTCAGAACCGTACAAACACCATATGACCCTTCTTAGGAATCTTTTCAAATACATGATCCTCCTCTGTATGCATGAAGTGTGTCATTAATCATTTATGTGCATGTGTTACTACACACTTAGCAAAATCCTTTCATTATACTTCGACCTTCATCTTTCATTACACTCACTCATTCCACAAAATCGTATCAGTTATTTCAAATCTCTTATTACATTATCTACCTCAACCTCATCTCTGTTGATAGATTTATTATAGTGTTATATATTATAGAACACTTCCTCTTGAAAATATATGCCTACAATTCAGAAGATTTATTACATCTACATTGTAGCATTTGTATTGAAAGATGTAGAGCTTCCCTTTATGGAGCTGAGATTTTACCATCTCATCTTAGGAGACTGGACAGACACACTTGCCAGTATTTCTGATTTTCTGGTGGTGTGCCCTGGCCATAAATGCACATTAGATTCATTCACAATTGTGTTATGAATTCTGCCACAAATCAGCACACTTTTATTTTCTACTGGATGACAGTACAAGATTAGTACTGGTTTTATCTACCCACACAAGTCTTTTCAATGCATGATCTGCAGACTGAATCAGACCAGTTGCTCATTAAATGCAATATTTCATTAATGCATTGTATGACCATCTTACATCTCAAAGAACAAAAATATGTATAATATAATTGAAGGTAAAATTACTCATGCATTTAAATTCTGTAATAGCATTCAGATTTGAGTTCTTTCATAATAAATCCAAACTGTTTTACATAGTTCTGGATATAAAAAGGCTAAAAGAATGATGGCCTACAGTCCTACACTGACAGAGAGCAACTAGAAGCATGCAATATTGTACTTGCATATGGGATGTGAACTGAAGCAGCATGAAAGGATGATCTGTGATGTCATTTAATATAGAGGTGATGAAGAGATCAACCTACTTTGCCTAAAAGTAGCTAGCTGGGAAACAAAAAGTCTGTTTTACAAAATATTTTGAAACTTCCAAATTTGTTTTTCTTCATATACAGAATGTGATCATTTAAACATTTCATTTATATATACACAAACACTCCTAGCACTAAGCTTCTTCCTTGCCAGACTACAGCAGCAGCTTCTGCTTAACTCTGGTTTTGTACATACCAAACAAATGGTCAGGTGGCTTAGATATTAATGCTTGTTTGTGTGTTTCAGGTGCACCTGAGATCATAACAGGCACGAGAAAGTGGAGGTATCTTTCCAGTAAAAAAGTAGAAAGCATAAGGAAGAGACATTTGTGCAGGAACAACATGCACACCACAGTCAACATCATTCTGCTAAGGGGAAAAAAAAATTCCTAATTAAACAAATCAAATACCCTCATGTTCCCAAAGATTCCTATGAAGTAACAATTCTGAATAAATGTACAAGTTCTGAATCATTTGAAGCAGACAGTCACAAGACAAAAACTCTGAAACAGAACATAACAGAGCTGATGGAGTCCATTAAATTTTGGGTTTGTTTTGGAAGTTTGGGGGAGTGCTTTTTCGATTCTTCATGTGAGGATTTGTTCTTTTCTTTTAAACACAAATCTGAGACTAAATCTTTAGGTCTCAGCAGGTCCAAAATGTTCTGTATCTCAGATGAGTCCTTACTACCTCTTTGGAGATGCTTTGGGAAAAAAAAGTACAAGAGGTAGAAGCTGAAGATACAAAACAAATGGAATATGGTGTGCATATTTGGACAGAATTCCTTCTAAACACGCTTGCTGATCTGTGTAGTTGAAGGGTTATATGGTACCCTTGATTTTGGCAGAAAGAAAGAAATGTCAAAAGAACAGTTAGAATATCAATCTATATATACATATTATATATACACATATAGATTAATATAAGAATATTAATCTATTTGGCAGAAAATAAGAGAAGCGAGATATGGTAAAAAGGCACATGTCTGAAACCAACCTCTGTGATAGCAACTAAAACAAAATGTAGTTCAAATACACAAAGTATTTTCCAAAAGTTGCAGACACAACTAATTGCAGGTGTAAGTAATGAAAACAATAGGATTAATTAGGATCACTGTTATGGAAAAACAATGGAAGTGCATAAGCAGCAAATGTTGGAAGCAGAGGATAATTAGGCTGGAAAGGAGCTCAAAGTCTTCTAGCCAGGCCTGGTGGCCTAGACTGGTCCATTGAGGGCAGGTTGCTCAGACTGCTCAGTTCAGTTTTAAATATACCCCATGATGGCAATTCCACAGCCTCTCTGGACAACCTGTTCCAGTGTTTCACTACCCTTGCATTTTAACTTTTGTTTCCTCTTGTCCTTTCACTAAACACTCTTGAGAAGACAAATTTATGTCCTCTCATTCATCCTCCAGCATACTGGTTGATGGTAACAATGAAATCTCCCCTGAGCTTTCATTTCTCCAGTATGACCAAACCAATTTATTTCATCGTTTTCTTGTCCATCATATGCTCCAACCCTGTCATCATCTTGGACCTCCACAGGACTTGTTCCAGTATACCACTGTTTCTCACAATGTACTCCAGATGCCATCCCAAAAACAAACACTGCTGGCTCCACTCTTGCTACTGCAGCCTGGTATGCAGGTCACCTTCAGCACTCCATGAGCACACAGCCACAGCTAGTTTGTATGCCAAGTCCTTGTCCATCAGTATCCCACATCTTTTTCTGCAAAGCTACTTCCTAGACACACATATCCCAGTTTACACTATTGCTCAGGGTTATTTCATCCAAGATGTAGAATTTTGAATTTGACTGTGTAGAACTCCAAGAGGTTCCTCTCAGCTCATTCTGCTGTCCTATCCCTCTGAATAGCAGCCAATATTATGCAGAATACCAACCACTTCCTACAATTTGGTCTCACCTTCAAGTCTAAGAGAAATTCTATCTCATAGTCCAAGAATCAGGAAATTCTTCTAAATGGCATCAATCTCACTACCAGTCCCTTGAGAATGCCATTAAAGATAGACTTTCCAATTGGAATTTGCACTGCTAGTCACAATCCCTTGAATCCACCAGATGAGTCAACTTTTCATACATGATCTTGTCCACTTTTTGAGTCCAGATCTTATTAACTGAATTATACAGATACTATAGGAAGCTGACAAAGGTTTTGGTAAAGTCATGGTATGAAACATCCATCACTGTTTCTTTGGTTACAGGGCCAAGTTATTTCACCTAAGAGGACAACTGTGCTTATCTGATCAGACATACATGGTCTCATAAATCCATGCTTGATGTTCCTAACCACATTTTCCTCCTTGTGACTAGGAACACCTTCCAGGATAGTTTGCTCAATAATCCTTGCAGAGGATGAGGTTAGACTCATCAGATTGCCCTTCCTCAAAATAAATGAGATATTTGCATTTTTCTAATCATCAGGAACATCCCACAATCATTATGACCTCTCAGTGATGACAGAATGGCCTTGCAATGATATTAGTCTCCTCTTTCAGCATGCTTAGAATCAATCCCATGTAGTGCCATGCATTTATGAATGTCCAGTTGCACTAAGCACACCCTAATTCTACCTCCTTTGTAGGCAAAGCTGCATTCCCACACACTTTCTAGACTTGAGTAGCTTGAGAGTGAGTCTTACCAACTGAAGAGTATTATTAAGCATCTTCAGCCCACAAGGACAGATCCTTGACTCCAGTTGTCTTACAGAGGTATAAAATAATTCCTTGTTCGACATGAGACCTGATAGTTTAGAATGCCCAGCCTCCTCTTTGTCCCTCTAACGGGACAACCTAAGGACCAACAAGCACAGAACTTGCAGTAGGCACACATTTGAGGGGAGTGACATGATGTCCCCCCTTTATCTGGGATAAAGACAGAGAACTCGAGATCTTTAGGAGATGGCATGAAAATTATATGATGCATACCACAGAGTCTGAAAAGCAAGCACAGGGCAGAAGGAAGGAACACAGTATGATGACAGGAACAGCTCACAATACCTTTTGGCCACTGTTTCTAACAGTTAATCTCCATAAATTGCTGTTATCCAGCAAATCTGTAAGATTAGACACAGATTTGAGTGACTGAGCATTTAGTTGGATATCTCTATTATTGAAAATAAACTAAAATCCACATGCTTCTTTTGAATAGACTTAAAAATTCATGTGCCCATTGAGAGGTACAGTGGAATTGATGACCAAATTGGAGTGTTTTTGGAGCAGGGAATGTGCTTCATGAAGAAGAAACAGAGACAAATGTTCCATTTGTAGAAAAATATAATCTTGGCAAAATCCCGTACAATGGGACCTAGCTACCTTTAAGAGTTGTTTTTATTTGTTGCAGTTATTTATTTTTAGTAAAGAATGCTTCATAACTAAGACTATTAATCACTCAAAAGTATTTCTATTGCCTAAGTTTATCATTATTTACTTTACCCATTGTTGTGTAGTATTGTGACTTAGTGAGGTCACTGGGCAATTTTCCTTTGACTCCTTTGAAGTCTAGACTTTTCCATCCTGCTTTTATAGGAAAGACAACAAACTGTCTAATGCAGCATACTATATCTCTGTTCTCATCTGGTACACCTAATCACACTCAGAGTTATAAAGATTTGGTCATTAAATATCAAAAAGCTACAAGAGTCAACAGAAGAAAATATCATTTTTCAATTCACTTTGGAGAAAAATCTTGTACAAACAATTCCTCAGGTATGTAACTATATTTGTATAGTTTTTATATGTATGCATATTGTAGATATATTTATTTGTGAAAAAACCCAGCATTAAGAATCAAGCTTAAAAATTAGATTTCTTCAATACTCAGTACACAGGAGCTATATTTCATTAAGGCTTGTTGTCTTCATTTTCACTGATTTTTTACAGGTAGTTGACAATATTCTCTTCAGCCACTCTATTTCTACTCTGCATTTTCTTTCAGTGTACATTTAGATTCCTGCAGCAACTCTCAGAACAGTAGACCTTTTCTGCTGACACTTCTCCCATACCTTGAACTGTATCTGTTCATAATTCATAGTTTTGAACTGCCTGACACACAGAAAAAAAATCTATTAAGACCAATATCAACAGAACAGATTTTACGTGTGCAAAATGGCACTGCAAACTAAAACATCAAACCATAATCAGTATCTGAACACAAAATAGTGCATGACACCCAGATATTAATCTGCTTTTTAATCAATCTATCCAGAAATCTTTTCTATCTACAGATGACAACATAGGGCATTATAAAATATTCATAATTCAAGTGAGATTAAGGCAAGACTCAAACTCATCTAACATATATATATAGATATTTCATCTGCTCACAGTTTGCTTTCCATTTTAAACCTCACTCAAACGAAAAACATACTATAGGTTGGAAAATATGCACAAATTATTTATGTAGTGAAGTTTTCTTACATGACTTGGACTCCGGTGATGGTGGAGAAATGTTGGACACAGCAAGGTCGCTCTTTGACTTTTTAGGCTTTTTTGCATTTACCTGCCAAGGCTTTTCATAATTTCTAAAATCTCTTCTTGTTCCTTTATTTTCTGTCAAAAGAATCAAATTAGATAATCATAACATTTGTAGGGTCATTTTTCAAAGACTTACAAATAATTAATCAAAAAAACCCCAAAGTATATAAATCCAAATTACAGACAGCTCTTTTTTTCTCCTTTTTCTGATTTATTTTATATTTATTATATTTATTCCACGTTTTAAATATCAAAACTTAGAAATTAATATGTTTTTCATCTAAAAAGTCTATTTTTTGTTATGAAGAAGTCCATGTTATGTCCATGCTTTACTGGCTATGTTAAAACTATACATTTGATATAAACGATTGACTTGTCAGTAAACTAACACTTTGGCTATCAGTAACTGTTTAAGCTCTATATCTCAAACAGATCATTAGCCAATTTTTAAACACAAAACGAATATTGTAATAGTAGCTTGTACCAGAATATGAAAACCAAGACTTCTACTCTACAATTAGAGCAGATACTATTTCAGAATATTGTTTTAATGCTTCTGAAGATTTACAATCAAAAATTATTCACACTGGAGTTATAAAGCATAGCATCTCCTCATTAAGGGATGGGATGATAGGAAAATACCTCAATAGAGGTTAATCACAGGCACAAATACACCATGGGAGGGAAAAGGAAAACAAAGAAAGAGGTCAGCAAGGGAACCTCTCTCACTGAGATTGGGACTGTTTCCATTCTGTAACTCTGATCCATACTCACATGATACATACACAGGTTTTGCTGACAGACAGCAATGTATATCAAATTCAGTATCTGCTGGACAAACAGGATTTATTCTGCATGCTCAAAAGTATAAAGCAGTACTTGTTCAGTAAGTGCATGTGCATCCAGGAAATCACGGACATAACTGTGGGAAGATTATACTGGAGACCAGCCCTTTCCAGCACACAAAACATAACATACCTGATGTTTCACTCTCTGCCCAGAGGGCAGCAGAGCCAGACAATGTTCTCTGCAGCTGACCACGGTTTCCCTGCTTGGACTGAAGGTGATCAATTAGAAATGGGATTGGCTGGTCAGGTGTCTCCGTTATCAGCTTGGTCATCAACTCCTTTAAAAAATTAAACCAAACCAAAAAATTAGTGAGATATTGCACCAAAACTAATCCTGTATTTACCAAAAGAAAATGAGCATTTATAAAGGAAAAGTTTGTTTTCAAATTTGAAGTGAACAGCTGGAACATTCACTTCCTCAAACTGCTGCTAACTTTGTCCTATGAAGTGCTCATATCTGAAGTGTTCTCAGCCTATACAGTCTCTTATCCACTGGAACATAGGTTTAAAAAGCCAATCCCTGCTACCTGTTCAAATTTACCCCAAATAGTAATACTGTCTATTTAACCACTCCAAACCAGCACCTCTTCAGAGAAGCGAGTAACTTTTCTGTGACCAATATGTCCAAGTTTCTTCTCATTGGAAACTGGAGTGTCAGGGAAGTTTGTGAGTTTTTCATCTCATCCAGACACAGAACAATTGTCTAGTTCAAATATGCATTCATACCTGGGAACCCCAAGGTCTGTCTGATCAAACAGGTAGACAGTTTTTAAAGCAAGTCCTCAAAAATACTACAGTATAGAAATAAACAAATATTTTATTCCACTGTTGCAGACATGGATACAAAGCCAGTGTCAACAGGAAAGCATCTTCTATGCCAGGCATTGGTACTATCCAACTGCTGTTCTGCACCTTGGCTGTGCAAGGCTGCAGAAAAAGAAACACTCTCCATTATTGCTGCTGGGGTTCTTTCCGGCTTCCTAGGCATAAAACACATCAGGAATCCAGAAAGAAGCTGTGGCTCTGCTCTGCACATGTGCTCTGAGAGGAAATGAATGACTCAGGGCAGGTGAGGTGACCCTGAAACCCATGCAGGTCTACAGGAGATCTGTGGCTGCTGCTGAAAAATGAAAAAGCTCCACAGAAGTAAAAAACTATGGGATGTACAACAAAATGAGAACAAAATAAAAACAAACAAATAAACAAAACCAACAAAATTAAACAAAAAAAACCCAACCCAAGCTAAATAATTCAGAGCATATATTCTCTCTTCACCTATCCCCAAGCATAAACCTTAACACAATTTAAATAAACTTAAGTCTATCCCCACTTCATCTTTTCCACACACTTTCATTTAATATAAATTTTTTCAAATGTCAGTAGTTACTTAGCACTACCATCAGCTGGGAAAAGATACTTCAGAGGAAGTATACCAAACAGCAGCAAACATGAAGAACTGTACACGGGATTTTTAAGGCACAGCAGATTCTCTTTGTCTTCACAAGACATGAGATTTGGCATATTTTCTTCTTTTTTGGACAATCTTCTGTGATGTCATTTTTATACTTATCCACAGTGAAATGAAAAACCCTGGGTGTCTTTGGTTTCAAACTGGAACTCCACAGGGAGAAATTAAGCTACTTACTAATCTTAGAATTTTTGAAGCTATGGAGTGTAACTTCATCTAGACTGCCTCTTACCAAGGCAGGAGAAACCCTCCGATATATATCTTACAAGAAAAATTCAGAAATTGGAGTCATTCATATTTTAGTTGCTTGGCAACACTAACAGCAAACCTTTATTCTTCCCCCTGCCAAAATGCAGAATTAGTGACAATGGAAAGATGTAATCTAGTGCTTGTAACGGATCACAATAGCTATAGTAATTCCACTGCCGAAGATTCTATTACCAAAGGAAAAGTGCCAGTCTGTTACATCTGACTTGTAATTTAAATAATTTCTCAGAATCATGGCTTGAAAATTATTTTTGTCTTAGATTACTAATACATTCCAATCTTAACATAGTATTGAAAAAGGTAATAAAGAAAAATGAGAAATTTTAGAATGCCTACATATCCCTGTAAGACAAATGCTACTTGATTGTTGCCATAACTGATTTGCTTGTAGCAGGAAGAAATGGTATTTAAGTAACAGAAACACATCTAATAAAATAAAACTGATGACAGTATTCCTTACCTCTTCTGAGATGCAGCAAAAAACCTAAAGATCAAGGTGATGTGAAATTAGATTCTATTAAAAAAGACTTTTCATACCTACTGTTATATTGATAGTAAAACTTGAGTGATATAGAGAATATAGATTTTTCTGTGCTGTCCCAGAGAATAATCAGAATCAGTCCTATTCTGAGGCAGCAGTAAGAAAATTTTAAGGAACTGTCGATAGAGGCTACTTTTATCTGGAATAATGAATGAGTTGTACCAATCCCGTACACCTAAAATAAAAAAAAAAAAAAAGAAAAAAGAAAAAAGAAAAAGAATATATAACACTGCTGAAATCCTTGTAAACTGAAGAGTGTGTTGTTCAGAAAAAAACCCTACTTATTTGTGTAATAAGCCTCAAACTAACTTGCCTCAAGCACTCTCAGAAATGTCATTAAAAGTAAATGCAATTTAAAATTAACACAAAGGCAACTCAGGTTACAAAATGTGCCATTTCAGGAAGACAAAGCTCTTTATTACAAGTATTCCACTGCGAAAGGGAAGAAAAGAAACTCTAAGGAATCTGCTTCTCAAGCAAGGTTTGAAAGCAGTCTCCAATTTACCACTTTCCATGGAGTTTCTGAACTCTGGACAAGGTGCAAAGAACACCTCCACTCTAATAACAACAGCTTCAGACATATACTCTGTATAAATTCCCATTCACATGCTGAAGGTGTTATCTTTTCTTCCATATCCTTCTGCCTCACACACTGTCACATATCCCAGAAATAGGATCACAGCTCCATGACCCTCACGGCCTTTGCCCTTGTACCAGTTTCTGCCACCCAGTTCATCAAGGGACACAACTCCATCTGCTCAGCCCTCAACCCGTGCTCTTCAAGCTCACGCTTCCTTTGAGACTTTTGTCATCCCCAGCAAATTGGCAATTGGATGGAAATATGTTAGGCTGCCTGCATTCATTTGCCTGGCCATGCCATGAGGTGGAAGGGTTGGCTGGAGGGGCAAGAAAGACAAAAATAAAGCCAAACCCAAGCCACAGAAAAAAAAATTGCACAAAGCTTCACACCAACATTAACTGTACATGGTGAGCGCTCTCCTAATTTTTTAAGTAAAAACACATACTTCTCTGGAAGTGAAAAGATATTACAGATTAGGAATGTCAGCTAAAGGGTATTCTCATTCTAGCACATTCTCTAGCAAAACTAACTTAGACTTCTGATTAAATGATCGAAAGCTTATTTGATGATGTCATCTGTTGCTCGGGTGACATCTCAATAGACAGTAGGAATAACATACTACATGGCACTCTAAATACACTTTCACACGTTTGAAATGTCTTTTAAAAAAAGATGACAAAAGCGAATGTATTAAATAAGAACTGAAGCATACAAGGTACAAAAATAAAATTCCTTTTTGGTTAGCAGCAGTCTGATCTGACTCACAATGTGCTAAGTAGGCAAGGTTTCACAAGAAAAAGAAAAGGGAAAAGACCAACTAGTCTCACTGAAGACGCCTCTGCATTAACAGCAGAACAAGTATGGCACAAGATCATTGAAACATTCATTTTTTTCATGAACAAATCATCAGGTAAGTTTCAACTCTACATAAAAACAGAAATGCAAGACACCTAAAGACAAGTCTCTTAAAAATATTAATTATACTTTTCACACTTATAGCTAAATTTCTAAGTTTTCTGCACTTCAAATAAAGCAAGTCTCTTGTCCTGTGCACAACGTGCCTTATAACAACAAATAAAAATGGCAGATTGGGTCTCCATGCTGCTCACTACCCATAGTCTCTCACCTTCTATTTTCTTTCCACTTCTGTGCCCTCTTTTCACTCTACATCCTGTCTTTTCTATCAGTGGACTCCACACAGTCTCTTTCTCCCAGCTGTGTAACAAGTGAAGAAGCTGTTCAGAAGTCAGTAATTATGAATTCCCTGTGCACCCTCAAAACACACTAGAGCACAGGAAAGGGGCCAAAGGAAACTTCCATGGTTACTACAGACTAGAGCACTAAGATGAAAACATCAGTTTCTGCTACATCCCAATTATATTGCCCAAAATTAGTCTCTGCCTTGATTGAAAGAAGAATGAAAAACAGCAAGGGGATACAAGCCTTTTCAGTTAACTGTTTCAAGGATTTTACCTTGCAACTGTGCAAAACAGGTCTTCTGTCTTCATTCCCTGCAAAGGTATCTTCATGTGCTCCTACATTCACTAGTTTTATTGAATTGTTACTTAGACTGCTCAAAAAACAATAACTTGGAAAAGTTCATTTGTGGATATTTCCAAGAGAGATTCATGCACATATAATGAGGCTGCAAAAGATCTTGAAAAAAACACCAGGTCTAAAGTAGTGGTTTAATATATGAATTATTTATAAAGAACATACAGAATTTATAAATAATAATTTATAAAGAATTCTTTATATCTTTCACTATTGTGCCACCCTGAGGTCCTCTATTAGTTATTCAATGAAGGCTCAAATTTTAATTTCCTTGTAACTGTCCATGCATTTAATACAAATGAAACAGTCTTCACAGTCTATTAATCATAGGCCCAATTACAAGAAAGTCCTAATTAGCCCTGTCTAAATGTACCTATTGGGTTATTAAGTTAATTAAGAGACATTCTATCTTGCCCTGTAATTGGCAATGGCAACTGCACAACAATCATGTTTTAACTGTACAGACTTTTATAGACTATAGCACACAGCATGCATAGATTCTGGCTGTGTTATGCTCTTTTTTTCATAGATTAAATTAGAAGTTTAAATACAATTAAATACAGCAAGTCTTCACAGTGATGTTAGTAGTGACTTTGTCAATAAAGAAGTCATGAGGGGCTAGATATCTCCCAGGTGACCAGCCAGAGTATGTCCACCTAGGATAAGAACTGCTCTCCTGGCTCCACTGACTTATTGGAGATACATGCATTGACTACAGTGAAGCCTGGAAACTTAGACACCTAAATTTAGATTTGCTAACCCCTTCATACAGGCTGTAAGTGAACAAAAAAATTGAGGGAAAATTTGCAGAAGGACTTGCAGTAGGTTTAAGAAACTTTTTAATGACTGACACTTTTGTTAGAATTCC